TTGCTTAAAAGTTTTTACTTTGTGCCTAGGCTTTTGTTGGTCCTTTCCTCTATTGATCTCATCTTCCCTTGGTTCATTTTTCGTATAGCAAATTTACCTACAACATTCATATTCTTGCAGAAAGAGTTCTTGGACAAGTACGAAAGTTTTGCTCAGCTTGTAGCCAAGATATACCCCAGCGAGAACGTCCCATCTGTGTCAGAAATGCGCGATCTTTTGGCATCCATGTAAAGAAGCTTTTTGTGAGTTCGATTCTAGTTTTAGTTGTTAGGAAAAGTGTGTTGTAGAGTATGTCTTCTGTTGTCTATTTGTTTTCTGTAGAGCATTTGCCTTTATCGTCCTTGCCGCCATTTTTGTTGTAATGTTTTCTTTTAAAGCTACTGTATGAGTTATCTAACTTTTTATTTTCAAGTGTAACTGTGGAGAAAGAAATGTTTAATCTTACTACATATCAATTCATCTATTAGTTATTAAAGACGTGTTTTCACTAGTTATGCCTTGAAGTATTTTGTTGTTTTTCGAATTCCTATCTACAAATATAGGTTATGTAGATAGGCAAGCCATAGTTCATGGTTATCAACAAAGATTGTGGTGGAGTAACAAGTATTTTTTCGGTTTGAGTTTGAATAAGGAATCACAAGAATGTTTTATTCTTCGAAGTGAGACTTGTTCGTGTGAATTTAGATTAATCGAACCTCAAAAACAGATATGGAGTACTAGTATATTTGATTGCGATAGAGTGGTAAGTACTCATCCATCTTGAATCTACTATTTTAGATTCGAGCCTGGGGTATCAAGTGGTCTTTGATAGGGAGTGATTTATTCCTAGTAAGATCTTTTGGTGCGATTGAGCCTCAAAACGGATATCGAACACCGGTATATTTGATTGTAGTGGAATGGTAAGCGGTCATTTATCCTTACTCAAATATTTCATATTCGCGTCTTGAGTATCAAATCGTCTTTGAATGATAGAGAGTGTTTTATCCTTCAAAGTAAGATTTTTCAACGTGAATTTAAATTAATTGAGAAATGCAATGATTAGCTTAATTATTTCTTAAAGGAGCTATCCTTATTGCCTCTTGTGTTTCACCTTAATACGTAATTGTATGATTTTCCAACTCCTCACCTGGCAGCTCATGTATGGTATGGAGATTCCATAACAACCATTTCATCTTTAAAAAAAAATTATAACTCATAAGTTCAAATCCTAGCTAACCGTGAAAGCTAGCTCGGTCGATGAGCTTTATGTCTTTTAAAATTGAAGTGGACGGTTCAAAAATAAATCGTTATATGAATTTCTAACTCTATCGCTATCGATATATGTGTCAACATCTTATCACCCCTTCATTTCCATTCCCATATTATTATAAATTTCATAATAATACAAATTAAAACCATTCTTTCCTCTTCCCCTCCTTTCATATTCCCTACAAAACCTCTCCTCCATTCTCTCCAAATTCATTAATTTTCCTTTCCATCTTTTCTTCTCATATTTTAAACATAAAAAAAAAAATCTCTTCTTTTTCTTTTATGGTGGAAAAACAACTAGAATGTCAAATACAACAAACAAAATAAATCCATAATCCACCATAATTTCCCCCAAATTTTTTTTTTAAAAAAAAAATCCCTTTCATCTAATTTATAAACATGTCATCTACTATGAATAACGATGAATTTAACGTTCAAAAAAGTAAATTTTCGGCGTATGATCGTCTTAGTTGTGAAAATTCTCCTATGAATATGTCACCATGGAACCAAAGTTGTAATTTAAATGCTATAAATGATGATGATGATGATGACGACGATGCTACGAAAAATAATCATAAAATTTGTTTAATTGGTTCACTTGTACGTGAAGAAGGACATATTTATTCGTTAGCTACAAAAAATGATCTTCTTTATACAGGTTCTGATAGTAAAAATATACGTGTATGGAAAGATATGAAGGAATTTTCAGCTTTTAAATCAAATAGTGGACTTGTTAAAGCTATTATTATTTCTGGAGATAAGATATTCACCGGTCATCAAGATGGAAAAGTTCGTGTTTGGAAGGTACTATTGAATTCTGTGATCATCTCGTTTAAATTTGTTACCTAGAACATATATGGAGTACTATTTATTTTTTAAAATAGTGATACTATTATTTGTTTGATTATGTTATATTTCAACATGTTTCTTGATCATGTGTTGGTTTATTTTTTTTATGGGAAAAAGCATGTGGAAAATCGTTTTGATAATGGATGGCGGTGAGAATTGTACCAGGACAACCTTTTGTCTTGTGTGCAACGGTGGAGCCACGTGCAATGAGTTGGGGTTCAATTGAAACGAAAAATTATACTGCGTGAATAGAGTAAAAATAATTGAAGTTTTCTTTGTATATACATTTTTTTTAATCTTAATTATGTGTTGGTGTTTGTTTGTGCATATTCAAAAGAAAAATATGAAAAGGTAATATCGTTTTTGGGACATATTAAAAAGAAAAATATGTCACATATACTGAAACGGAGAAAATCTATATTATTTTTAATCTCCTTGTTATAAGAGAATCTAGTAAGAAGAACCCTCTTAAGACCGTTTTGTTTAAGGGTTGCTCGCCTTTTGAGTAGAAGGAAAAGGTAGAACATAGATTACCTTTGTTCCTACATGACGTGATCAATTCTCACCATCTATTTCATTATTCAAATCTCCACACGTGTAAGTTTCCCTGTATGTGTCTCGTCCATCCTTTCTGAGGCGCTTCTTGTGACTCAGCATGAGATGAAAGGAGGCGAAACTTCCTAAATGTAGTTTAAAAAATTGTTTCTTTGCATTTCTCAAATCCCTCCTTTGCAAACTCGTATGACTATCTCATCTGAAAGTTTGAACTATTACGAGTTACGAGACTTTATATCTCAACAGGTACAACCTAACAACCCTAGTAGTTTCAAGCCTGCTGGAACTCTACCAACATTCTTTGACATTTTCAAGGCTTCAATTAGGCCAAGCAATTACTTCATGTCAGCAAAACACAACAAAGCTTCAATTTGGATCAAACATTGGGATGCAATATCTTGTTTAAGCATGGACCATAATCATGGCCTATTATACTCTGCATCATGGGACAGAACATTCAAAGTATGGAGAGCTGACAGTTCAAAATGTCTCGAATCAGTTAAAGCACACGAAGACGCTGTTAATTCAGTCGTAGCTAGTGCTGATGGCGTTGTCTATACCGGTTCAGCTGATGGTACTGTCAAGATATGGCAAAGAGAGTTCACACCAAAGACGATACGACATGTTTTGGTTCAAACACTTTTGAATCAGGAGTGTGCTGTGACTGCTTTAGCAGTTAACAAGTCTGGTTCTGTTGTGTATTGTGGTTCATCAGATGGTGTTGTGAACTTTTGGGAAAAAGAGAAGAAGAATTGGACACATGGTGGTGTACTAAAAGGTCATAAGTTGGCTGTGTTGTGTCTTGAATCAGCTGGGAATCTTGTGTTTAGTGGATCAGCAGATAAGAACATTTGTGTTTGGAGAAAAGAAGGTTGTGTTCATACATGTTTGTCTATGTTGACAGGACATAATGGACCAGTGAAATGTTTGGCTGTTGAACAGGATAAAGAATCAACAACAAGTGATAAAAAATGGGTACTTTATAGTGGGAGTCTTGATAAGTCTGTCAAAGTTTGGAGTGTTTCTGAAATGGCACCAATTATGCACAATGGAGATGTTCAATAGATGTTGTAATTTGTCTATGTTGCTTAGACTCTGAAAAGAGTCAACGGGTGCGTGTCGGATTCTCCAAAAGTAGTGTATTTTTGGAGAATCTGATACGGGTGCGGCATTGAAAGTGATGAGTTTGAGCAACTTAGGTATGTGTGAAAAAGTGTTTGATGTGTGTTGTGTTTTTTTTACACTCATTTGGAAACAGAGAAGATTTGTTGGGGGTTATTATTGTAAAATTGTAAGATATGTACAATTAAATGGTGTGTAAATTTGTTGGCCATTGGTTTCTTATATTATATATAATTTTTTGGTATATAATGTTCTTTTTCACATGTTGAACAAGGGGTAGTACAAGAATATTCACCTGTTGTCCACGGAGTACGCCTTTTAGGCTCTGACTCACTCTCTATATGGACGAACCTTGTGGAGAAACCCTTTGGGTTTTCGAGGGATTGGATTCTGAACCAATGTTTGTGTTAGTCTTTGTTTTGAAAAATATAACTAGTTTTGAGTTTGATTCAAGAAAGAAGAATTGTGGTAGTTTGACATCTAGCATAGAAATAGTTTTAGTGACGAATCATTTAAATGAGGATTAGTACAAGATATTCACTTGTTGTTCATGGAGTACGCTTTTCAGCCTGATTTTAGGCTCTGATGACTCACTCTATGTGGACGAAACTTGTGGAGGAACCCTTTGGGTTTTCGAGGGATTGGATTCTGACGAATGTTTGTGTTAGTCTTTGTTTTGAAAAATATTACTAGTTTTGAGTTCGATTCAAGAAAGAAGAGTTGTGGTAGTTTGACGTCTAGCATAGAAATAGTTTTAGTGATGAATCGTTTAAATGAGGATTAGTACAAGAATATTCACCTAGTGTCCATCGACTACGCCTTTCAGCCTGATTTTATGCTCTGACTCGCTCTCTATGAACGAACCTTATAGAGGAACCCTTTGGGTTTTCGAGGGATTGGATTCAAACCAATGTTTGTATTACTCTTTGTTTTGAAAAATATAACTAGTTTTGAGTTCGATTCAAGAAAGAGGAAGAGTAGTTATATAGTTTGACATATAGTATAGAAATAGTTTTAGTGATGAATCGTCTAAATGAATGAGAACAAAGCGGAGTAGAAAAAGAAATTGCATATATTATCCAAGAGTCATAGGCTACAAGTTACAACAATCTTGATTTAAGACATCTCCAATTTCTTATACATATGAAATGAAGGTACAAACTTGTATTATTATTCAATAGAAAGGAGGGATTAATCGACCAACTTGAACTGGTTGATTCTAATGATAACAAATGCATCAACAACCATAAAGGTTGGCACTGAGGCGCGGAGCAATGAGAACATCCAATGGCGTTGCTTTAGGTATAGTCAACCCCGGACTCTCGGTCAAGTCAATAGGTTGACCATCAATAGGCTTAGTAAACTCAAAAGCATGAAGAATACGCGCCAATGTCAAATGAAGAACTTGTAGAGCCAGAGAAGCACCAGGACAAGATCGTCTACCAGAACCAAATGGAATGAGCTCGAAATCTTTACCTTTCACATCAACATTACTCATCAAGAATCTATCTGGATTAAAACAATCAGGATCTTCCCAAATTCTTGGATCTCTTTGGATTTTCCACACATTTACTATTAATCTAGTACCAGGGGTAATTTTATAGCCACTAATTTCACAATTATCCATTGCTTCTCTTGGTCCTAATAATGGACCAGCAGGGTATAATCGTAATGTTTCTTTAATAATAGCTTGAATATAAATTAAATTATTTATATCTGATTCATCAATTTGTCTATTTTTTCCAACATGTAGATCAATTTCTTCTTGTGCTTTTGTTAATATTTTAGGATTATTTAGTAGTAATGAAATGGCCCATGTTAATGTCCCTGCTGTTGTGTCACTCCCTCCAAGAATAAGTGCCTACACCAAAATACAAGTGTGGATTTAGGATATCGGGGAGCGGATTCTCGAAAACTCAGTAATTTTTGTATAAGTCATGTATTTATATTGAGAAATCTATTAATTATCTGACAATTATTTGTTGGGAACCATGGTAACAAAGTAAGCTCTTGTTCCAACAATCAGAAAATAAAACCTACATAAGTTTTGTTGCTCTCCTCGATGAGCAAGGAGGGTTATATTCGTCATATATGATAACATAAGTAAATTTTACACAAGATATCATTTTAAAGGTATAAATATTCATTTACGATGTTACATGGTTAAAATCGTATCCGTGTTGAAAAAAGGGAAAAGGTCAAAATTGCCCCTTAACTGTTGAAAATAGGACAATTATACCCTTATGTTTTGATTATAGTTTTCAGATATATTGAGAAATTCATTAAATATTTGAAATCTATTTGTTGGGAACCATGGTAATAAAGTAAGCTCTTGTTCCGACAAAAAAATGGAACATGTGTAAGCTTTGCTGCTCTCATCGTTGAGGGTTCAATCCCCAATATATGATAGCATAAATAAAATTTACACAACAGGTATTCATTTATGATGTCACATGGTTAAAACTGTATCCGCGTTGAAAAAAGGAAAAAATCAAAAATGCCCCTCAACTCTTGAAAATAGGACAATTATACCCTTATGTTTTGATTTTAGTCCAAAGAATTCCTCAAGTTGGCAACTTGCAACATTACATAACTACAATAATTAATATAGCACTACAACAACTATATACTATACTAATAGTGATTGTTCAAAAAAAATGTTTTAAATTCGAATTAAATCGATAAAATACCTTAAACAACATATATATCATGCTACTTTCTCGATAAATATAATTTATTACGTATAATCAAAATTAGACTTTTTTGAACTCGAGAACGTACCAGGCAAGTAGACTTGATACTTGTATCAGCATCATATGGAAAATTAGAGAGTCTCCCTTCTTCTTCTAGTGATAACATGACATCGATAAAATCTTGTACCGCGGAATCAGTAGTACTCTTAACTTCAATACTTGTACATTTTCTTTTCTCACGATGTTCTTTTAACCATCCTTCAAGTATAAAATCAAGTTCTTTAGCTGTTTTTTTCATGGCTTTTTCATGTCCATTTATATCAAACCAACCCAAAATTGGAAATGCATCTGATGGTACAAAAATTCCAATTAAATGGAAAAATTGATTTATTGCTTTTTGACATCTCCTAGCTTCATCATCGTTATCGCACGTTGCTCCGGCGCCAAAATAACGTTTTCCGGCTACCATTCTAACGATAACGTTTAGTGTTAAGTCCTCGAACCACCTTTTGAGCTCTACGAGTATTGGTCTGCGAGTTTAAAGGTGTTAAAGTTAGCTCATGATATAACAAGTACTAAATTTTGTAATGTGCATGTTAAACTAAATTAAAGCATGTTATATCATATGACTCTATTTGTTAATTTTGACTTATTTTAACTTATTCAATTTACTTGACACTAACTTTACCTGTCAGAATTGTTATCGACCCACAATTTGTATAACTCTTGGATCCCGATATCCACTTCGGACACTTGAACATACTTGAGAGCATCAAGTCTTCGATTTGATAAAAGTTCAAACATCGCAATTTTTCTCATCTCGCGCCAAAAAGGGCTATAAGGTGCAAACCCGAAAACCGCATAACCATAGCCCATATGCTTTGCAGCCACAGTTGTGGGCCGGCTGGCTAAGGCCTTGTCATTCAAAGTAAAACATTCTTTTGCCATTTCCCAACTACTAACCACAAAGGCTCGGCGAGTGCCAAGCCTTAGATTAAATGCTGGCCCATAATTATCAGCCATGGCGCCGAGCGTTCGATACAGAAGTTGCTCGGTGCCACCTAATAAGTGGAGATGACCGATTATGGGCCAGGCACCGGCTGGCTCAGGAACTTGTTTAGAAGTGGAGTAATTTTTATTTTTGAAAATAAAATATAAGAAAATAAGTACTCCAATAATGAGTGGTAAATACGTAGAGGTGTCCATATTTTGGATTGAAGATTTTGGGAAATGAAAGAAATTAAGTTAATTATACGGAAATTTTTTAATCAATTTATAGGTTTATTTCAACAACTTTTTTTTGAGTTATATAGCATGAAGCATTCTCTTAAAACTTGATGGCATGGTGCATGTTATAATCCTTTTCATTGACTTAATAGAGTATTTGTTTACCATATGTCATGTTGTTGACATATATATATATATATGCACCCTTGGTATTAGGTGTAGAAACTACTTTTAAACTTCAAGTTGTTTGAGTTTGTACTATGTTAGGGAATGCTTTACCCCAATATGGAATTTTTCGGCGTGAATTTAGAAGTAATCGGGCTCTAATATGGATGTTGGACACCGATTGAGAAACCAAAAAAAAAAATCTTTATATTTGTGAGTAAGACTAGTTTTTACCTATATATTCATACAACATAGTGTTACTGTAAGTATAATATTTGTTTTGATTGTTATTTAAATTTTTTATATTGTATTGTTAAACTCATTGTTACGTAACAATAATGAAAAGTGTCATTTTATATAACATTCAATTTGATGTGATCACGTCGTTATCTTATTTACTTTTCCTTATTTCGCCTTCAATTATTATATAATAATTTTATTACTCTTTATCCTACTTTTTATTTTATTTTATAATAATTCTACATCATATCCTACTTTAATGAAACGAAATGCAATTATTGCTTCGATTCCAAAAGGTATAGCAATGACCCAAAACATACAATGTAATCTATCTAAACGTTATATTCATCAAATGAATATAATACGATACATTATGAAATAGTAAGTAATAACCATCCAAATAAAGGTGTATGTAGCCTTTCAGCTATGAATTCATCTGAATCTATAACTTCCTACACAAACTATATATATATAACAATCTATTAAAATCTCATTAAATATTAGATCTAAGCTCATAATATTAAAGCTATAGTGAATTCAGTGCTAAAAATGTTAGAAGTTAAATCTATTAAATAAAAGGAAAATCCTGAATCCGTCTGTATCCATACAAGCTATTAGTAACATAATAACATCACGTGGCAGTCGGTAATGAGGTCAAAAGTTCAAAACAATCCACCTCCAAAATCATTCTCGTAAAATACACCCGAATAGTGTCTACCCCCTCCCCCCCCCACCCCTACCAA